ATATGAGGTAGATTGAAATCACCAAGAAGGATAAAAGGGTATGGGCAGGATGCAGCCCATGTTAGTAATGTATTTAGCTTGTTTACATGTTCGATGTCATAATCAGGTGCTCTGTAACATAGTAAGAATCGAATTGTGATATTTAAGGATAGTTCACAGATGATGGTTTCAGGAAGGGCAAGCTCCTGGGTAACTTGGATATTTTTTAGATGTAAGGATTTTTTATAGAATATAGCAACACCACCTCCTCGACGATTTTCACGAAACTGGTATAGCCAGGAGTGCAATTCAACCAGTGTAACACTTACCTTCTGCTGGAGTCCTGGTGAGTAAATTAGCTGAGGAGCAGCAATCCGCTGTGCTGCGCCAAACAGCTGAACTGAAAACCCCGGAAATAAAGGATAGAATAAGGCAAGGATGGGTGGGCGGGGCCAAATCATTGCTGTAACTACTGATTTGCCCAGTACTGGGCCTAAAATAGAGCCTTGGAGCAGGGGTGGGATTCAACCGGCGTTACTACTGGTTCAGTGATTATGTTTTGCGCACGCATGCACACTTTTCATGCACGCGCTCCTGACTTTGTTTGCCTCTAGGTGTTCACTGATTCAATGCTTGATTGTTTTTTCCACTTTCCTGTTTATGTCTGTTGCACACATATAAATGTGTACAATACACATTATATGTTGCACACATATAAAAAGGAAAAAGAAGACTATGGTAGCATGGTTGTGGCTTCCATATTAATTTTATAATACTTTCCTGCGAACACGAATACCCCAATATCAAAATAAGCAAATACAAATGTTGGATTTAGTAACATACCACAAAAATTTTAAAGTAGAGTACTGTTAATAAAGTTGGGGTAGGACAGACTCTTTATTTACAAAGTTATTGGAACAATTATATGTGACAGTATTATCAACAATGTTATCTGCATTTAAGCAACTTGCTAAGTAAAAATATCACAAGATATTTTGTCAATTAAAGTCAAGAATGCGTAAGCTCAGCCTTATGATTTAACCACACTGCAAAGTAGCAGATTCTTATAGTGCCTAGTTTCATGTATCTGATATGAATAAATACAGGAAACTATCATGAGTCACTCTTCCAGTTTTCATGCTAAAATAAGAAACCTTCAAAAATGAACAATGTATTATTTATTGAAATCCAGTATTTATCACCATAATTCAGAATAATGCCACAAATTCTTTTCTTTCTGGTATAACACAACAAAGATAATTTGGGGAAGAAAAGTAATCAAAACGTCATTTCCATAAAGTACTAAAAATAATCAGTTTGGTGCATTAGCTCTTATTGTATGCTGTTCAATTGTAAGTATTACTGTAATCCTTTAAAAAGTTTGTTGCTTCTCTATATACCAGGAGATGGCGCTCCTAGCATTAAACAAAAATAATAAATTTTATTCCTTTTGTTCACTTTCCTTGAAGCAAAATTATAAAAAGATGTTAAAATGGCATTTTGTACTGTTCTTATAAGTCTTCGGGCTCAACAAATGCCAAGACCTTTTTCTAAATTTTCAAGCAAAGATGTAAAAAACAGTTTTCCAACCGAAAAAAAAATAAAATCAAAAGTATTGAACAGTGGAATCTTTATACCTATTAATAAAATCAAAATAAGTAAATTAGTATGCTAAAAAGAAATTATTCAGATATTTTTAACTGTTCTAATTTTTTAGAGTTCGAGTTTTTCCTTAAGTCTTAAAATGAAATTGAATGTATTGTTGCAAATTAAGTCATCTTTTCTTCTATCAATCACTCTTTGCATAAAAAATTCAACCTCAATCTGCAACAAATGATCTACAATTATTTTAAACTATCATACTCATTAAAGAAGATGAGAAGGAGTGGATATAAATATGTGATAGACACAAATCATACAATCATAATTAACTGCATTAAAGCTTGCTTTATTTATTAATTCTGATTTTAAAAGTACACAACGCATACCAGAGCCTTTCAGAATTGAACTCCTGGAGTGACAGTAAGTAGTAAGTTACCCTATAGTACTGCATTCTAACCACTGCGCCACCACAGTTCCTAAAATGAAGATTAAGTTTAGGATTAATATTGATTAAATAAAAGATTAAAACCAAAAATACAGACAATACAGAAGAGTTTTGACCATCATAGCGTGCCTGCATAAGGGCCCCAAGCCAGCCAGCAGAATAAGATATTAAAGCTTTTCCAAAAGACCAGAAAGGTGGAATCAAATCTCAGTCAGGAGGCAAGATGGGATGGGAGCTATGACAGAAAAGGCCCTTTTCTTTACCAAATAGCTGAAATTCTTTGGCTGCGAGGCTCCAAAAAAGGTCTCTTCTGCCAATGTTAAGTGCGGCAGCTAAACTTTTGGAGTGAGATTGTGCCTAAGATAAACTGGCCGTATGCAATGAAGGCTTTGGAAACAAACTGCCAACCGATGCAACTCACTCAATGCTGCATTCATTCCTTAAAGTGTCCTTTTCTTGGGAATATTTTGGAAATCACAAAAAATTATGGAGGAAGCAGGTCAGAAAATACTATTGCAACTATAGTCTACCAGATATTATGAGACTGCAATTCCAAGAATTCTCAATAAACCATGAAGAAACAAGTTGACTTACAGTACTGGGTTCTCAATGCCTTTGGATCCCAGTCAAGGATAAAATTTACAACAATTTCTCAAACAACAGATGTAAAGTATATGTTTAATCAAAGTTAACTGTGCTGTGAAACTAAACAACAAAATAGGCGATTTTATGAAAAAAAAATAATACTCAAGCAACTTCCTCACCCTTCTTTATTTTAATTATCTTATTTTTAAAAGCGTATAATCTATTCCTCCTGAGAACTACATTTTACAATTCCCCCACCTGATTTCTTAATTACATTCTTTTGCACAAAGTAACTCTTGTATCTTCCTATTAGTTTCATCCCTGATCTCAGAGTACCATTGAACTCAGTCATTCAGTAGAAACAATAGCACCTACAGTTCCAACTTTTGTTCCTGGTTTCTTATTTCACTGAACTTGAGCCAGACCATAACCATTTGTGAGGAAAAGTCACAGGCATACAAAGCACTGCTTTTTTCCAGTTCTAATATAATGATACTTGATATAGGCAAAAAATGGGACAAGAAATCCAACTATTCAATAGACCAAAATGTGAACTTGCAAGATTGGGATGCTCAAGGAAAGGAAGGAGGGGCAGGATTGTTCATTACTATCTCATTTGCAATTGAACACATTGTGTAAATCCAGATGAAGAGGCTAGGCAAATCAGCTGAACAAAAGTCTATAAATCACATTTACTCTCAAACATCGGTTTGCTTGGGAAGAACTTTCATTAACACAGCAGACCAATTCTGGTGAGCAAAATTCAAAGTCTTGTTATTTTATTTCACACTACCAAATGATGTTTGTTTATCAGCAAAAAAAGAGATGGGAAGAAATCATTCAGAGACATTTTCTGCCACAAGATTTGTTAGACTGTCTATTATTACATATGAATTGATGTAGATTTCAAAAGACTAAATTGATTTACAGTAATTTATCCACTATACAAAAATATCCACTATGTAAAAATAATGTGATGTTCCTTAAAAAGTCTATATGTGTGTATAATATGCAAACATACATTAAGAAAAATATTAAATAGTTATTTCTTTAAAGACTGAGGATCTTGCCTACAATAATTTGTGAAACTGAGTATTTTTACATAATAACTCAGCTATATTTCTTTACAAACAAATGTGTTAAAAATATTATTGCTAATTTTTAAAAATGGATTTTAATATCACATTTATGGTTCATATTAGTCTTTTATTTGTAGAGTTGACCCAGATTTAAAGGGGATCTTCTAAAAACAGTTAGACTTAAATTTATACCAATAATATGGAGCTATTTTTTTCTAGAAAATAATTATTTTTGTCATTTGTTAATTATGAATCATATCAGTTTAATTACCATAGGGAGGTCAGTTACAAAATAAAAAAAACCTCAATGATAACAACAGAAGTTATACAAATTTTAATTCTCAATGAAATAAATGATAAAAGAATAAATATCCTGGAATGGCTATAAAAATAAATGCACCTTTACTAATAGACAGAACACCTGAATTGTAGGTGCTTCTCATGATTGAAAAATAATATCAGTATTGCAATCATATATCCTTTTAACCTGGTAGAAAATACTGTTGAACTGCAAGTTTGAAATTCTGATTAATTACCGCTTTCCTTAATGTACCTGAAACAGCTACTTTATCTGTCTCTTTTTTAAAACTATATAACATGCAACCTAGCTCTTTTCTGGAAATGCCAGCGTTCAATCCAAAATGCCATAATTTCTATATAAAATGAATAAATGAAAAATAATGGAAAAAATGTGGTTGAAAGAACTTACTAAGAATCCTATTTGTACATTTATTAAATAGATGTTGATGTAGGCTTACACCTGAATTTCTTATTAGATTTGGCATTACAATGCATCTTGAAAAAAAGGCATTTTGTTAGCATTGACAATTTTGTCTATTGTAATTCAATTATCTCTTTAAAAATTTAAATGCTTGCTCATAAACAAGTTTTAAACTATTAGACTTTCTGCTTTATCCAAAAAGCTCTCTATAATTTTATTTTTTATTTGAGCAATTATATTTTATCTTTTAAATGTTATTAGTACAGAAAGTAATTAACATCCCGGGAAAACATATGAAGATAATTTTAATTTCACATTAATCTCACACTGAACTCTGCTACAAATTGCACCAAATTTCTAATAAATGAATTTGTCTTAGATGAAAAATAATGCACTTGATGAATTATGATTTTTCTCAGCTTATTCTATTCTGTGGGTATTTTTTTCTAGTTTTTTTAGGTAGCATCTGCTTCAACAGTTTGGTAAAAAGAATTTCATTTATGGACAGCTATAGCTACTCAAGATATTAGAATATAAAAAGTTGGCTTTGTTTTCATTACCAGAAATTACTTTGAAGAGGGAAGAAAACATGCATTCAGCAGTGAGCTTATCTTTCATATTACTTGCCATTTCATCTAATTTTGCAATAGGAATCAAAAAGGAAAAGCAAGTACCCCAGACACTCTCTAGAGGTATGATGGTTTCACTCTGTTTCTAAACTTCCAAAAATTATAAAATAAATTTTAACTAATTTTTTTTTAACTAATTTTTACTAAAATTGTTTTGTAAATAATATTGGGCTAAAATTCAATGGTATGATACTCTACATTTTAAAAACATAATATAATTTGATATCTTTTTGTACACATGGGTGTATTTTAGTGCACATGCCCTTACAGAAATGAGTTATGAATCTAAGGTACACTAATTTACATTTATTTTAATAGACAAAATCTGTGGTAAATAAATAAATTATTTAACACATTTCAATATTATATAAAATATATTAAGGACAGTTAAATAGAAAACAACTCCATATAAACCATGGACCTATTATTCTTCTAGGATGGGGAGATGATATCACTTGGGTACAAACTTACGAAGAAGGCCTTTATCAGGCAAAACAAAGGTAAAAATAATTTTAAATCTTTCAGGGGAAATTGATTTTTTTTTAAATTTTGTTTCTGTTCTTATGAATGGAGCATTTGTGGCAGCTTGTAAGTTTTAGTTTATTGCTTACAGATATTGTATTATTCATTGTATTTATGTTATATGATAGGGAAAACATATTTCCTAATATTTATTTTCTTTTTGAAAAAGTAATAAGCCACTGATGGTTATTCACCATTTGGAAGATTGTCAATATTGTCGCGGTAAGTCAAAACCAATTTTATTTAAAGTGAAGATCTGGAGAATGCATCTGCATATATATATCACTCATATCATTGTATTCTTCTATTGCAGGATATTTAAAACTCTGAAATCTCAGTCTATAAGTCAAATTGCTCTATGGTTAAGGAAAAATAGTTTGAAGAAACTGCAAGTTTCTAATTAGAATCTTATTTTTGAGAATTGGATATTTTCAAATATTTCAGATATTACTGCTAAAGGGGATGGTGCAAGTGCGGCATTGCTGTAGGCTGATGCTTTATTTTAAAGTATGCCGGTTTATACTTATTTATTATTAAAATAATATGTTTAAAAACTTAGTTGGGACAGTGAGCCTGGTAGGCACCAGGTGATATCTCAAACATATTATTAATTACTATCAACACTATTTTACCAACCACTGAATTAAAGGAAACAATTTCACAAAATGCATCTTCCAGATATACATTGGTGTAAGTAATTCTCATTTTCAAAATTAAATTATTTTAAGCAGAACTCTTTTACATTTATGAAGAAATAATCCCTATTACACATACAGTAATCCTGCTAAATGTAGATAAAGATACATCAGCCCAAGCAGTTAGTAAACCAAAATATAAGAGATGCCTCTTCTAATATTTATTTAGCTTTTTCTACCAAAGCTAAAAAATGTGCAAGGTAGATTACATTAAAAAACATGGAGTTATCTTAAATACTGACAAAACACATTCTATACGGTTCTATTTTACTCCTGTAATCAAAGACAGGGAGGTGTACAGATACATAACACTGATCTCTGAAGAATTCACTGAGAATAATGTCCTTTTGTCAACCTCTATTGCAATATTAATATAAAAAAAAAACCTTCAAGGGGACGGATTTAATTAAATTGTAGGTAGTCTCTCTCATCTTGTCATTGATGCTAAGCAATATGATCACTGTTGGCAAAGAAGATACCTATGGGTTTCTGTCTTTGAGTCTCAAAGTCCTTGCAACAACCATCTCTCACTTGAACAACTTCCAGTTCAATGGACTGCAAAACATTAATATAACACGCCAAAATCAGTATAGAAAATATCAGCTCTAACAAAAGTAAAAAATAAAAAAAACAGCACCTTGTATCTTATCTGTCTTTTAAGATAACAATTGTATTTCATTTTTTGCAGCATTAAAGAAGGTCTTTGAAGAAAGTCAAGAAATACAGGAGATGTGTCAGAATGATTTCATCATGCTCAACCTCATGGTACAGAAATGTAGACATAGATATAAATTAAATAATATCTGAAAGTAATTAGGAAAAGACATGAGTGGTCTTTAGTGAATTTTAAGACAATTTAATAACTATGCCAATTTAAAGATTTTTCTTTTGGCAGCATGAAACAACTGATAAGAACTTATCACCTGATGGACAGTATGTACCTCGAATCATGTTTGTAGGTATGTATCAGACATAATCATAACAATAGCCATAACCTAGTACTTCACCTCTGTAAAATACAGCTTTTGTTGGTTACTGGGACCAGACAAATGTTTCTTTTCTGAGAAATTTTACTTCTGTACTGATGGAATGGAATTTTAGTCTACTAATATTTCTTGATAAAGATGATAGAGAGTTAAAAGAAATCAATCCATTTTATGGAAGCATGCATGTGGAATCATGGGATAATGAATGGATATTCCAGTTTAACTTTCCCTGACTTGATGCCATTCAGATGTGCTAGGACTGTAGCTCTCAGAATATTAAGCCAACATGGCCTTTAGTCTGTTATTTTTTATTTATTTTAGAAATATTATTTTTGAGTAGCATTCCAAAGTGAGATTAAATTCATTATTGATCAAAGCCTTAGTCTTCCCCAGATAATGAACATTTGCAGCCTGCATTATTTCAGTCTTGTAGAAGTTTCCATAGGTATGAAGGAATTATCATTGTCATATTGTAGTGCATTTTAAGTGTAGTGGCTGATTCTTTCACATTCTTCATTTGAAATTCATGACTATTATTAAATTAGTGAAAAGCATCACTTTGAAATCTTATTGATGCTATGTATCAGTATAATTTAAGACTAAAATTGAAATCAATTTTTATTGCTTTTCCAGATCCTTCTCTCACAGTAAGGGCTGATATCACTGGAAGATATACAAATCGATTGTATACTTATGAACCTCAAGACTTAGCTGTGTGTAAGTTTTTCTTTAGTAGGTTGCATTCAGAATACGAATATTTACAGGACTATTTCTCCAAAATGTACTAATAGCATAGAGGATAAATTAAGTAGCATGCTACACTTGCTAAGATACATATAAAAAGTTTAATTCAATATCACATTAGGAAAATAAAAAAGCCAAATAAACTAGATATTTTGGAATTCATTTCCAACAGTCCCCAAAAATAGACACTGGGGAAGGTGGCAAGTCAGCACAGTGCTTATATTGAATGTTATCGTTAGATATGATTACGTCAGTTTTGAATCTTGTTATTCATTAATAATGTTTTATGTGTTATCTTTTTTCTTGTTTTTAAATTGTTACAATGTTCTTTTTTCTTGCTTTTATATTTGCTTTAATTGTTTGCAAGCTGCCCAGAATCATATACATATGAGATGGGTGTCTATATACATTTGAAAAACAAACAAACAAACCAGTGGCAAGGACTGAAAGGCACTAGGCTCAAGCCAATCAAGCCTAAATACCATTTCATGGTTTAACCAATCAGGGTCCCTGCACTATGAATAAGAAGACACAAAGATGGTACATGTACCATCACAAGGTACTAGCACCATGCAAGAATACTTGAATAGTGTCAAGAATACAATTTCTTGCTTTAAAAATTAAGGACTTGAATAAGATCTTCCGTTCTCTACAATGACCTTTGTGCATCTTGTGGAAACAGATAAAAGTGGAGGCAGAACAAACTGGCTCTGTTGAGTGCAAGTATGATTTTTTTTACATGTATTTGTACTTGGTTGGGTTGGGCACATAGATTTTTGGGGTGGTTTTGTTTTTTTGCTCTACCTCTGCAAAGAAAGTGTAGCGTCTGTCCAAGAGTCATAAAAAGTAGGCAGGAAAAGATAACTAAAACTGATTAGAAAGCAAGATTTCCATTAGTCACTCAGATTCTTACATCAGCAAAGACCAATAAAAAGTAGATTAGAGAGAAATTGACAAAGCATCCATATGTTTTACATTAAGAGGCTTGCTTGTTGTTGCTATAATCCAACACAAACTGAAGAAGAACTAATACTTATTTACTTCAATTTGTGTACTATTGTGTATTTTATTTGTGACATTTAATATATTTCTTTGCATATTTTCATTAAAAATTAAAATTAATCAACTTGTATGATCCCTTTCATCAGAAAGGTTGGCAGTTTGAATCCCTAGCACTGCGTAACAGAGTGAGCTCCCATTATTTATCCCAGCTTCTGCCAACCTAGCAGTTTGAAACCATGTAAAAATGCAAGTAGAAAAATAGGGACCACTTTGGTGGATAGGTAACAGTATTCCGTGCACCTTCAGCATTTAGTTATGCCAGCCACATGACCATGGAGACATCTTTGGACAGCTCTGGCTCTTCGGCTTTGTAATGGAGATAAAGCCCACCCCACAGAGCTGGAAACTACTAGCATGTATGTGTGAGGGGAACCTTTACCTTTACCTTTATTACCCCTTTCACGTATTACCCATTTCAACTTAAAGCACCATTTGGGATAATTTTCTCTGATTGAATTGATCATTTTGTTTACCTATAATGTTTCTCAATAGTTATGGGAACATCAAAATGGTCTGCATGATCTAATCAAATAACATGCTGGAATTTCCTGAAATTTTCCATGTTTCCTCAAGAACAAGCTGCTCTAGCTTTATAACAGATTTTCTGTTATTAAAATTTTCTGGAAGCAAATCTCCTGAAAAAAATATATTCCTGAGAAATGATGATTCACTCCTGAAATAGAATTGGACTACACCCAGAACATCACAGACTATTTCCTGTTTTAATAGATTCAGTTCTAGAAATGATGAACCATTAATGAAATGATCAGATTGGCATCTTTGGGAAATAAAATGTAATTGTTCAGGACCTTCTTTCTATAAACTCATAATTCAGAAGTCTAAATCTTCCTAATAATTATACAACTTTAGAGCATAGTCATTTCTGGAAACACTATATAATACCCTCTAAACTTCATTTTAAAATAAATATCAATATTAAAATCTCATAGGTTTGGGGCACATTAAATTTTTAAAAACATGTTCTAGGATGTGTAGGATTTTTAAATTTGTGTGTATGCAGCCCCACTTGAAATTATAGGAAATAGTCCTTACCCAAAGACATGCTTAAATGGATCAATTAGAAAGTTAGTGAACTAAGGAAAATCAAATCTGGATCTAAACAATTACCAAAAGTGGGTAAGGCCCAATCTTCTATAGAATTAAATTGACCATATCCAAGCCATGTTGTGTAGTTATAGAAACCAAGATAATTGTTTATTTTGCCTACCTAGTTCTCAAAGCTGAGGAAAAAGAAGAGTTAAAGAGCAAGATTCTTACTGCACAACTCACCACCAGAATCAAATTTACTTCCTAAAACCCAATTGCCTACAGAGCCAAAAGAGTACCTTTTCTTGTTTACCCAGACCCTAAGAAGACAGGAGTGATTTAATAAATCCCTTTGCTTAAGTGTCCATGGGACATAGGTACTTTCAGGAAGACAGAGTCTCCATAAATGGTGATTGTCGTGTCCGTCGAGAAAGGAAGCTCGGAGACAGTGACTTGGTTTCAGCTCTTTATTGGCTCCTGAATACAGCTTAGGCTTGAAGGGAAAAACTGCGGCTTTTTATTCTCGAGCCGCGGCGGTCGCGGCCAATGACACCGCTTCGAATCTCCCGCGATTAGTTTCCACCAATCGCGGGGGATTCGCAGCGGACCAATCAGTGCGGCTCGCTCGACCAATC